TAGCCTGATTAGTCCCATTAGTTATCAAGGTATCCCCTTGTTTATATGATCAATGGTTTCTTCATATCTCGGTAAGCAATGCACTAGCAATAGCGGAAGGCGAAGGCGAAGACGAAAGAACGGCAAAAATATCTCAATGAATGACAAACAGTCAAAATTTGACACTTTATTTAAGACTTTTTACTATCATTCTGGTAGCTCCATAAATCCGCGCTACCAGAATTTTCGCGCTTTCGTATAAGTGCGACGCTGCCTTTGTTATAATCGGTAAAAATTTCACCATTTTATGTGGTTTCAAAGAAATAGACCTTAGTTGACGCCCAATGAGGGTTCTATATTATATATTTATGATCGAAAATGCCATTTTTCTTGTCTAACAACGATTTGTTTATGAAGTCGTAACTTACTTTATTTCAGTTTGTGTTAGAGTTGAAATTGTGTTCTCCTGGCACCGGTGAACCAAGCAAGATATACTTTGCGACCGATTTCGTTTTTAGCTTTTGAGGAATTTTACGAAAAGCTTCATTATATCCTATAAATATAGAGCACAATTTTGTCGTTTGTATTGGAGTTCAATGTATCGCTTGTGGGTTTCAATCTACTTGCGACTTACTTAAGTTATCAAAGTGTGTTATAATACTTCCGACTACCGAATATTTCGATTTGGGTGTTGGGACTAAAATTGATGATAGTGTAATATAAGAGAAATGTGCGCATAACATATAGATATGCGTTTACTTGTTTGAAATAATTGTCTCATATTGAATGAGAATTTGTAATTTCGCAAACACCATAAAGTTTTTGGTAAAATAATTAAAGAAAATCTTATGAAGACTTTAAATTACATTATACAAGGGGCCTGCAATATTTTTCGTAGTGCTTTTCAAGAATGCATCATTATCCAAATCTTAAAAATTTTCGATAACAAAAATTATAATCGCAATAAATTGTGTTGTTCTCTACGCAGATAAAATTTATTAGTGTGAAAACAGTATTAAACGATTAAGCAATTTTCCCAACATTTTTTATCTTGAATTCAGACGGACTGCTAACTGTTATAAATAGGAGAGGAGGTTTGGTTTTTGTAATTGGTATAGTAGTAAACCAAAAAACAAATTAATTAAAACGAATAGTAATTAAAACGTTTAAGTGTAAGCGAAAACACTGCTGAGTTGAATGAATACGGACGGTCGCGTGGAAATAGTATAAATATCGTCCTTCTGCGATTTGGTTATTGCTATTTTTAAACGAATGTACTGGTACAGTAAAATATATACCAAAGTGTTATCAATGTGCTCGCGGGGGCAGCGGAGAGAAAAAAACAATGTCTTTAAAAAGAGATAATTTTCTAGTAGAGAGAAGTCTTTCTCAGTCACCGTATTATCTATATTATGAAGAGAGCTTGGGCAAACATATTAAAAGATAATTTTTCTGAAATACAAACATACTTACATATATAGCTTTGGTATATTTTTTCAACAATTTTTTTGTAAACGTTTTAATCAAATTTTTTCGCTAAGACACTTTTTTGAAATAATGTATGGTTAGGATAGGTTAGTTTAAGTTAGAAGGTTTACAGCGAGATCATAAGAAAAAGTTTGATAAACTCTGTTCTAATGGATTATTGAGGTAACATAATGACTTGACTACATTATTTGAAACATTCAGACATTCAGATGCTGTAGAGAGTGTAGAAATGTAGTTAAGATTTTCGAACAAAGAAAATTTCGATTAAACACAATAAGTAAAGTAAGTAAAGACTTAAAATGTGTTTACAGTTAAAGCTAACTTTCTAAATGCATACTGTTGCATATTAATTAGGTTAAAATTGTCAATCGAATAAAGTTCCGGTTTTGTATTTAAAGCAAAAACTAGACAACAATTAAGATATCAAAATTTTTGAAATTGTTATATATATCAATGCATATGTTTTCCATACTTTAGGAAATAAACTAAAAAACAACCGAAATTTTTCATCTGTCGTCAAACTGGGAAACATATCAACTTTGTTATTCTATTGGTAACATCTAAACTGGGAATACATTGCCCAATATCCGATTAGTTTCTCGGGTCAATTTACAACAATGTCGCAAATTTCGTCAAAATATCTTGAAAATTGGGACTGATTATAGACGCATGTAGAGAAATATCAGAGAAGTAGGCGGACGGACATGTAGACATGATTAATGCAGATTATGCAGATTCTAATCTAAATCGTGGATCTATCTTAAGTCCTGCTGGTTCCTATTGGGTCTTACACACATCCTGACAAACTTAATGCATTCGATATCGCAAGCAGTGCAAGATTTAATAAATATACTCTAGAGTAATTGTGCAGAGATTTTATAGTTAAATTTTTGCTGCTAACGCGCCTAAGATAGATAATAAGTTTATTTAAAAAATTTATTAATTTCAGCTTTTTAATGTCCCGGTTAAAAACAGTTCGCTTATATCTTTTTTATTTTAATAGAGGACAGATTTTTAATTGCAACACCCTCTCCAGGTGTGGCTTTTGAAGATAGAATTTCTGTTGGGGAATTGCTTCTCTGCCTTATGGAAAATACACCACACACTGATAGCAAATAAATCCAGTTCTTAGAAAAAGTGCGAAATTAGTAAATTTGAATCATTGTCAATTTCTTTCCACTTTAAACAATTCTCTGCCATATTAGTGCTTGAACATTGTACAGTATAGCCGGATGAACCGATTCCTTCGTTACGCATTTCATTGTTCATTTCTGTGGACAATTCTAATCGGAAACCAGCGTAGTAAAAAGACTAAGATGATAATAATTATGTAAAAATATGATCAGATCTTCTTTTTATCAAGCCTAGAGGGTTCTTGAATTTACAACACAGTTTTTGCAATGCCCACTTTCGAGAGTTTTGACTGGAAGCGCTGGTGTGTGGAGAAGCTTAGGATATGAAAATTCGAATTGTGTGTGTGAAACAATTTATATTAATCACACTGTGTAGGTCGATTGAGAGTCAATCAATATGACCTGAGCGGAGTTACAAAGTAAATGCACTCACTATTAGGCATATAGAAGAAGTTTCTGTGTACATATGTATATGTATGTGTTACGTCTATAAATACATATACGTACATGTAGTTAAAATATCACTAAATATACTATTTCATGTATCATTTGCTGTTAAAGTTTTTGATACCAATGTGTGAGTGAGGAGTAAGAGGAATCCATACATATGTGTGTAGACAAGTGCAACGTTGCTTTGCTAACTATTTGAAAACAATAACATTGTTAACGTTTGATAAACACAATGTTTAGGTTTATTTTTCTGGTTTAATAAACACGTACATATAAGAACATTCTGTTGCATGCTAGTCTGTTGCTCTTGCTACTCTTTCGACTCGTTTCAAAGTTAACCCGTTTGATACCAACAAGTTTATTAGCCGCGGTCACAAACATTGTTTCTCTCTTTCTTATTCTCTCAGTCTACTTTTTTCTTCTCACCTTTGCAATAAATTTTCGAAACTGTTCACTCGCTAGATTATTATATGCCAAATTTTGTTTTGCTTTATCTGAATATTTTATATTTGTTATATATACAATATATTATAGTAGCGTTATTTCTTTATAATTAAAACAGTGCAATGCAGTATAAAATGAAATAAAATCTTCTTAGAAATGTTATAAAAATGATATGATTTCTGCCTTACCCTTCGAGATAAATTGAATTTATTAATCATATATGATATCATATGTAAACATTCATATATCTATAATGTTTATTGAATATCGTGCATGTGCATATACTATCTATGTATTTAAAGACTATACTAAACAAAATCATAAACAATTTATTGTTTGACTTTATATTCTTTTTCATATCAATCGAATAATGAGCACAACGAACAATGAGGACCGAAGCCTGAGATAATTAAATCATAAGCCATTAGCACAGTTGCATAAACCGACCACGACTTCATAACACATTAGATGAGTTTAGTATTAAATTTGTTGTTGTAGGATGTTTTTCGCCGAGGGTTCCTTATTTTGGGAAAGTTTCTCATTTAATTATGAACAAGTGTGCATTTAAAAACTATGTTGTAAATTTAAGAATCCTCTGGGCGTGACAAAAAAAAAACCCAATGAAAATTTTACAATATCATAACAAGTTTAGTTTTCTTACTACGCCCGCTTTCGTTTAAAATTGTCCACAGAGATGAACAATTAAATGCATGATGAAGAAATAAACTCGTCCGACTGTACTGTGCGATGTTTATGCACTAACGTAATGGAGAGTTGTGAAAAGTTGCGATGATTCAAATTTATTGATTTCGCAATTTTCCTATGGAGTGGATTAATTTGCTATCAATTTGTGGCGTATTTTCGAGATAATTTGAGTAAATTGGTTATCCTCTGCACGTGACTTAAGCAAAATAGCGTAAAATACCGCCTATCTTTTGAAAAATTCGTATTAGAGTATGGAAACTATAATAGGTCGTTCGATAGGCTTATTTCATGGAAAACTTGACTTTAAAACGTAGCTTCACATTATTACAAGTCCGGGCTGCATGAAACGATGGAACAACCTCGAGCTCACTTAAAAGTTAACTAAATTTGAAAATTATAAGGAACATGTAATTTGCTTGACTCACTGTACTGTTCGCCAAAGCAGCTCGTTAGAATCTTTTTTTTATGCTCTCTGTCAGATTAACATTAATACACATGCACAGGTGACCAATTTTCATATTATATTCTTTGTTTATATTTTATGATAAATAGGATTTAAAAAGCATTCACTTCAGTTTATTTCATTTCAAATAATCTTCAGCTAAAGTCTGGCACACATAGATATCGACAACGTAGCGCTGCAAATATAAGCGATCTTTGGAATTAAAAAAGAAAGTAAATGAAAAATTTTAAAATAAAACAAAAATTAATTGACATAAAATATTAATAAATATGTACATAAAGTGTAATAGTAATAGCTATTAAATAATTAATTTGAAGTTATTTTTTAATTTAAAAGTCTAGATGATTCTTCATTTCTCTCGTAAACAATTTTTCATATTCGCGGGGTTGAGCTTAATGGCAATTTTTCTAATTTGGATTTTCTACGTGACCACAAAGACTAAATTAAAATATCAATGTTTTAATACAAAAGTGGATACCGGCCAATCAACGTTGGAATTGGTACATATTGTAAGTTTTTATTTTTACATAATTTTAATTACAAACTTTTTAAATAACAGAAACCGCATAGTTCTAAAGGGGATGTAGACATTTTTACCGCAGCTTCCATTACAAAAGAATTAATATTCATTTTGTACGATGAAGATTTCGAGCTGCAACTTGACAATTGCAAAAAACAAACTCCCGACCCTAGAATACGCAAAAAGTCTCAATGTGGTCTTTATTAAGGAATTACGATCTATGCGTTCTTTGATTTGAATGTTAATAAAGGGAAGCAGTTTTTGTCAAATATTATATTTTCCGTTGTATATCCAATGAATAGAGAGAATAGAGGAAAAAAGTTATAATAACTTATATTTTGAGCTTTTTTAGTTCCAACACCTAATACATTTCAAAAGGTTCAAAATTACGTTACGTTCATCTATTATACTTAATAATGAAGCTCCTGATTTTTATTAAATTCTTGATAATCTTTGGTATCCGAGACACTAAGTTTTTTATATATTTTTGACCTGTTTGAAATTTAAATCTTCATTTATCCACTTTTGTTGAGAGTTTTGAGAATCGTTGAGAATTAACGTCAAGTACAGCGCGACAGGTTGAAAGTTTAATGATAAAGAATGAATTAACAAAGATTACCATTATCTGATCTATGAGCATATCCCTAAAAACTAATTATCTAAGACAGACTATATGAAAATATTTTTATAAGGAACTTATGCCTCTTTAAAAGTATCTCTCTCGACTACAAAATTGTCCAAATAGATTATCTCTTTCTGATTTTCCAGAAATTTTGAAAACGAACTCGTATTTTTACATTTTGGCACATTGCGACATTATTTGATTTAATTGCGTCTGTTTTTGTTTTTGAGTGGCGCTTTCCAGTGATCGGCCAGCTCATAATACATTGTAATCAGCTCAATCTCTATCATATACAGAATATCATCAATAATCGATTCTATTTGTCTTTTTCTCTTATTTGTTCAGTTTCGTTGACGTTAATGGTTCGACTGGCTTGAATCACAATAGCATATATGTTCATAATTTAGTGCGTTACTCGAAAATCATCTTTTTTTTTTTTTTTTTTTTTTTTGTAATATAACTTAAGCTAACTTAAGACTCAAAAGTGCGACATTGCTTTGGCTTTGCGTTCAAACATTTACTACCGCTTGGAATTTACAGTCACTGGCTTATTGCGGGCAGATTTTTTGCCTAGTAATTTCCTAGTTAATATTATATACTCGCTAAGTTTTGTTCTCTTATGACTAATAGCTAATATAGGCAGGCAAAGAGAAGGAGATCGAGGACGAAATCAATCGAGAAAGTAAAGTTGAACAAAAATATATATCTATTTCATGGGGATTATGGGATGTATTTGTTTAAAAAGCGGAAAAAGAAGTGCAATATGGTTTCATCTTTTGATCAATGGTATAAAAATATTTAACCAATTTTTGCTATTGCTATTGGATAAGTTCGAAGTCCACATGCAAAAATCTAGTCGTTTAAAAAGTCATGTTTAAAAAAGCCACATAAAAAATATAAGATATTCGAGAGAAAAAGTTATGCACAAGTCTTACATAAAAGATAAATACTTTGATTTGCTTATTGTAAAGGTCCTTCTAAAATGTCTGTAACGCTAACTTATTTAAACTGAGTTCGTTCACTTTTAATCATATGTCCATTAATATCATTTTGTGCAATTTTCTTAAACCTTAACCTTAAGCAATAAAAATATAATAAAAGGAAAGAATAAGAAGAAGAACGAAAGTTCGGTTCAATATATGGCGAATAAATCTTTTATTGCCTGCTGACCCTAGGAATAATTGACACAGATACAACTTTATTTCTTAACGCTTTCATAGATTTTTGTATACTTTTTAGGCTTAGCAGTAAGCTAATTGCAATTAGAATTTCCGTAGACATTTTTACTGCATTTTGGGTCGAGGTTGATTTTATATTATTTAGTTATGTCAACTTTTTGGCTATAGTGATTTTATATTATAATCTGATCACACCCAGAGTCGATTTTTAGAATTAAGGCGAATTGTGTATACCTGAAACTTCGACTGGAGATAGGGATCTGGCTGAGACCATTTAAATGCTTTTAATATACGTTGTGCCCCAGGGATGCACATATAAAAGCAACGGATCAAATTTTAGGATAAATTAAATATGAAATGGGGAAGATGTTTTTGCAGTTGCAAAAGCTAAGCACAGATTTTCATAAAAAATATAAACAGTCTCTGATTAGTGAAGAAGAGCTTTTTTAATGACATTTTGTTACTTGCTTTCAGGTCATGCGTCATGGACCTCGTACTCCTGTCGACACGTACCCAAATGATCCATATCTAAAGAATAAATTTGAACCTATTGGCTGGGGTCATATAACCAATGTGAGTATTAATGAGAAAAGCATCAGTTTAAAGTATCCTAATCAGCCTAATCCTTGTAGAAAGGTAAACGTGAACTTTACGATCTCGGTGTTTTATTAAAACGACGTTATGGTAAACTTTTGGATCCCTATTATACACCAGACGTGAGTTTACTTATTTTTAGGGATTCGAAGGAAAAGTAAACTTAAAATATTTATAGAAAATATATGCTCAAGCTACAGCCTCACCACGAGCGATGATGACATTGTCCACGATTTTAGCTGGTATGCTACCACCATTGAATACTGCGATGGATTGGTTAAGTGGGTTCAATTGGCAACCGATACCAATATTTTCAGAACCTTTGGACCAAGATTCGGTATTTGCAGAGTTATACAAACTCATTCATTCATTTTCTCTTCAAAAATTTTTTAAAATTAAAAAAAATAAATAAAATCATAGTTACTTTTAGTACGCACGCCCTGTCCGCGATACTTTGAGGCACGCGAAGAGGTTTTACAATTGCCAGAAGTTAAACTGGAAATGCTTAAATATCATAATTTGTTTAGAAATCTAACGGAAATCACCGGGATGGAAGTAAGCAACGCAGAACATGTCAACTCCTTATACATCACTTTAGAAGCGGAAGTAAGAATTATGTTGGAAAAAAAGGAATTATTGTTAAGTGTAACCTTTCCAAAATTTAGAAAGATTTTAGTTTACCTTTACCTGCATGGACTCAAGATTACTTCCCCGAGAAAATGCAATTCTTAGCTGAAGAAAGTTATATTTATAATGCATACACTAAAGAAATGCAAAAAATTAAAGGCGGTCCATTCCTCAAAAAAATGTTTGATGAAATGCTAAAGAAACGTGATAATAAATTAAAGCCATTGGACCGAAAATTATTCATTTACACCGGTCACGATTGGACGGTGGGAAATATATTAATGGCTTTGCAAATATGGCAAAGACAAATGCCACGATTCTCAGTAATGGCCATTTTCGAATTACATAAGCATTCGAAGACGGGTGACTATTATGTAGAGGTGAAGCAAGCATAAGCTAAAAAGAAAAACATTAATAATTAATTTTAATTAACTAATTTGTCTCCCTTAAGATTTTCCTACGTAATAGTAAAGAAGGCTGTTTACAACAACTACAAGTGCCCCGTTGCGAACTGAAGTGTCCTCTAGATAAATTAATTGCTTTTAGTCATGATGTTCTACCTAATGATTTATATGCAGAACGTTGCAAGCCAAAGAATGCTAGCTTTACCGAACCACCGCCCAGGTTAATTGATCAGTAATTATCATACGTGTATGAAAAAATTATATGATAATTGCTTCAAAACAGTATTATTATACTAAACATAATTACTTGTTAATTTATATGTAATGCATGGTGTACGAGAAAATTAAATGTATATGTGAGTTTCTGTCTATGGCATATGGTTTTTTGTTAATAAATTTTTTCTGTTTTCAATCTCTATTATATTCAATAGCTTTTGATTTAATCTACGATTTACTAATTAAGGTGGCCAGATAATTGTCAATGAATATGCTCAGATGAGTAAAAATTTTTGGCCACTCAACTTGATAAAGCTTTTTTTAAGTTTACATTAGATAAGAGAGAGATAAGTTATATTAGATTAAAGAAGATAAATTTATATAGAAAAATATTAAATAAAGTTTATTCAATGCGTAATGCATTGAAACTTTGCAGTAATATAAATACTATCATCAACGGATTTGTATCAGCAAGTATTTACTACCTCGGACAATGAGAAACTCTATGCAAGGTACATAAGGGAGGAATTAAAAAGAATTTTATATCGCATATCATTTTAACTTTGAATGTAATTGGTCTTCTGACCAAATCTTATATGTTTAAGCTTTAAATACTTTTAAAAACCAAATCTCTTTTACGTGCTCTTAGAATTTTGCCATTATAAGTTTTGAGATTTTTAAATTCTGGAACCTTATAGTAATGGCATGTTGTTACCATATAGGTAAAATGGGTATACTGGTATGTAGTGATACCATAATAGTCTTCATCTTCTCCTTTTAGACGAAAGGCAACAACTTTTAGACGATTAGAAACATCTACAGAAGTTTTAAAGTGCATCTTAGCATTTCAAAAGTATAGTTACTTTGTTATACCCTCCATCTTTCAGTGAAAGGTGTATTCATTTTGTCGAAACGTTTGCAACGGCCAGAAGGAAGCATCAGAGGCCGCGAAAAGAAAACATTTTCTCAAATTCTAAATCGATTTAAACATGTCCGTCTATTCATCTGCAAAATTAAATCGCAAAAACATTAGAAGTTCTTGCATGCAGATTGGTATTGAAAATGGGCAAAAACGGTGAAAGAACACGCCCACAATACAATGTATACTGAGAACACCTCTGTTTTTCAAAAGGAATTAAAAGTTGATTTTTTTGCTCATTACTTATAAACTGTAGCAAATAAATTTACAAAAATTTCGACGCATATTCTATTGGCGATGCTGTAGCAATTGCGTACACAACGAAAAAAAATTGACCACACCTACCCAATATTATAGTGTGTTAAAATTTAATTATTCTTTCAATACTTCTGTAACGCGCAGAGACAAGCTTCAAAATTCCCATAAGGTGCATAAATTCTTGGCCGTCTGCCCATCTGTTGGATGGCGCAATTTTGTAACATTTGTGGTAAACATTCTCCTGTTAGCGAAAATGCAGTTATCGCCTATAAATTTGCAAAAGAGATTCGAATCGACCTAAACGTTCCAAAAGAAACGCCTTCAAAGTTCATATGTCTATACGATAAAAACTTTTATTTTGAAAATAGTAAAAAACAGCTGCGGAAACTTCATATTATAGAGCATAAAAATTTCGTTCTTTTACTTCTTTTGCTTTGTTTAGGAGAACGATGATGGCTTACTTGTTTTTGCATTTCTTTCAAGTGTTACGTAGTCCGATATCGGGGAAATAGTTTACTTTTGAGCACCTTGTACTCATATTCGTTCGTAACGTTTTCTGCAACAGAAGTTTTCAAGATGAAGATTCACACGCCATTCCTTCTCCCCACCCCTCTCTTTCTAAAAACTTTGCTGATCGCCATCATTCCCTGGCTACCCGTTTAGAGAAAAAAAGGAAAAAAGAATGCACATGTATTGTCGCGTATTTTTGGCAACACTAATCCTTTCAAGCTATGCTATCGCTCTGGTGCAAAGTATAATCGGTGAGAATCATAGATAGCTAAGACCGAAAGTAAACATTGTGACATTTGTTAATTCAGTCAGAATTAAAGAAGTCTTGAAAATGAGCCAACATTTTGACACAAATATTTATATGTTGCAATATTGCTCCTACCGATTGAATATGCTTAATCAAAATCATCAGCATACATAAGGTTCGCTCATAAATATCAAAATTTCATTTTAATTTTTATTTTATTTCATTTATTAATTTATTAAGTAAATATAGAGCCGTAGGCCTATTACCTACTTACATAGACACATTTTATGTGCAAAAAGAAACTACAACATAAATGAATATGCAAGTCAGCTAAATGACTGCAAATGTAACTATCTGACTCAATAAATTCCGTAATCATCAATTCCTACCGGCAACAAAGTATGAGTTACGAGTTGAGTAGTGTAGTCAATTTTCTTCTAAACGTATTCAAGGCATCATCAAGCCATTTCACCGTAAAAGATTTTGCGGCTGGTGAGTTATCATAATAAAACCACATTTTTCCAACTCATAAAGAGTTCTATTCGTTTTAGAGAATTGCAGTTGCTTTATTAAAATACTTGAGGAACCAGATTAAACGATTTGGTAAAAGCAGATAAACAACCTGAATTTTTAATAACCGGGGAGATAATCGGGAAAGGAGAACTTTGAGAAAGCATGAACAGAGAAGGAGATGTGCTCTCTAAGTGAGACATTAAAAGCAAAGCGTCTTGTATGGTTAATAATACTTTGAAGCCTACCTAAGTTAGGTCTTGGGCGCCCAGAAAAGGTTTCAAAACAATAATTAACAAGGAAGCGTATGCGCAATGTAATGTTTAAAGGGTATAGACAGATATAGCTTTAGATTACACAATTTTCGGAGCGTAAGATAAGCTTTAGCAGATGGGCGCCAATATTGAGTTGGCGATCAAGAATTACCACAAGACAAGCCATTGAATCTACAAGATCAGTGGAATACCCTGATATTTTTACATTGAGATTGAATGACCCGGCTTGAAGAGAGTTGAAAAGTAAGGCTTTCGTCTTACTGGAGTTAATATGAAGCATATTATCTATCATTTACAAGTTCACAATTGGCAAAGGTTCGTTAATACTGTTTTCAAAAGAATGCAAATTGCTTGCATTATCTTCATTAGACGCTGAATGTATTTTTTCTGATTTTTACAATGTGCGATTTTGTTGAGCAAAGAACTATCAATCGGTTATGAAACGGATATTACGGAAAATGATGCGAGGATCTACGCATACGTCCCGGGAACAACCGATAAATCACGCGAATGTCTAGCCAAGACTGGAAAAACCCTCGATGTTGTCGCTATCATTGTTCTCATCGGGTAATTCTTGAAGATTCATAAATTCATTTTGCATATTTCTTATTTTAACCACTTTCGCAATAAATTCAATATAATACCACAACAATAAACGAAACAAGAACTGCATTGAATTAATTTAGTTTAGTTTAGCGTGTCAGGTGAAACTGTGAACTCAAAAATTCGCAATATTTTCCGCTTGAACCACTTTCATAATTATTAGTGCCGTGGGTGTTATATACATACTATTCCTGTCCGAGTACTAAACTAAACGCTGAAAAATGTGAGGTACGTGAGTAGGTAAGTTTTTTTCTAAAGTGCAGATTTTGTAGATAAACCGCTTCAAAGTTTTTGCAGTATATTGCATATCTTGCCGGATGCGTTATTGCGTTGCATGCATCTAAACGCAATGTCGATGCTTTACAGACTTTTTATTTCAGTAAGAGCTGTAAGTAGTTATTGTCTACCCATTCTACAACAATCTCTTTGAATATATTTCATGTATTCGTTCGTTTATGTTAGGTAATGTGGTGTTAATATTGCTATATGCAGATCATTAGTTGAGATGTCATACATAGATCAATTATATATCCTCGTGTAACATCGCTATTCATTTGTAGATAATTGTTTACACAATGAATGATCGGCACTATTTGTGTGTAGTGCCGCTTGAATCGGATGCCGGTTATTAGAGGGTGAAAAACATACGCGGAATTTTCCAGAGTTTACATTGTTAAATGGTAGCTAGCAACTTATTTTACTGTGCAACATGATTCATTGTGGTTTTAAGGTCGTAGTCTATTTCTGATATTGTCTCTATTTTTTTCGAGAATAACGAATTTATTGCGTGATAACGTTAAATAAGCTAGTTGTGTGTATAGGGTAAAGTTGCGACTAGAATTGTTTTTTACAAAGAGTAAGATGAATGCGCCAATTAAAAGCTCAATGCAGTCGACTTTAATATATTCGTCTGATTAACGCATTTGAACTTGAAGCCTAATTTCGGATTCAGGCTTTCTACTAATTCTAATTTCTCAGCTGTGGAGCTAGTATAGCTTTGTAGTTATTAATTTGCGAATACGCTACAATAAATGATATGTAAATACATTTGCTTCATAAACAAAAAGCAAACATAAGAAAAATGATGACATGTTACGAAGGAATTACGTTAATTATTTCGAAATTAATTTTTAATTGGTTTCACTGTATTTAACTGTGAAATATTCGTTTTTTTTTTTTTTTTTTTTTTTTTTAACATGATATTCATGAGAGAGCGATTGTTCTTCACTAATTCTATTTTAAATTTTAATAAACAATCAACATTATTTTATTTACTTTTCAAAGAAAACATAATTGAAATATTATAAGAAATTAAACCTGCTTATATATAGGTAAATTACTACGCTAATAAACAACTATCCTCAATCATAGTTGTATTTCCTTATTGAAACTAGTGGTTAGTTAATACGAGAGATACACTCATTTTGTGCGAAATTTTGAAGAGTTTATTGAAGTTTCTCCGTCAGGCATTTGTAAGCATTTTTGCATTTTTCCACAAATGCTTAAACAAATGTTCAAACAAGTTTTCAAATGAATAGTTGCAACATGTTGCAAGCATTGCTATTAATGGAAAAGTAGTGATATTTTGAATTTTTCTCGATTTAGTTTTGACAGTTGAGCAATATTTTGTGGCTGAATCATGATTAATTTAAGGATATATGCACGAGTCTTTTCTTTGTCTATTTCATCTCCTGCTGTTCCTTTAATATAGGACAAACGGACAGATGGACATAAAAACGGGTATAGTGAACTTGGCAAAATATCTCACATTTATTAAGAATATAGACAGTTTTGGTAAGAATTTCTAGCTGACGCAAGTGAAATGAGAAAATTTAATGCGCCCTACCTTCTACGCCTGCTAGAAAATTGTTCATTGCACCTATTGTGCGCTTTTGTACGCAATTGAGTATTTCTCACATCTATGGGTTTTTTATAAAAAATATTTGTTATTTAAATATTAAATTATTTTGTGAATAATTTTAGAATAACACTAGAATAATTTTCCCCTGAATAAGTTATTCAAAATCTAAACATGGTTCGTTATGTGTGTAATAGAATGTAAGGTGAAGACTCAAGTGCCCGATAGCATCACAGACAGAGTACAATTAAAAAATAACTTTCGCACATAAATGGGTAACAAAACCAAACATTTTTCGTCTATGTATAGATATATGTTTTTGTATGATGGAGTTGTACGTGCAATTTTAACAGAAAACAGCATTGCTTGACTAGTTGCGGCCGGTGGCGACTGACGCTGGTGGTAACTTACTGAATGCCTTTCATATACCTCAATTGCGGTTGATTTAGGCTCACACTTAGTTCTGATCTGTTGTCTCATAAACACCGAAAACTGGAAGAACAAGAACAAGAAAAAAAGCAAACAAATGGCTTTTCGCAGTATTTTCGTGGCTATTATAGCAAGTTGCTGGCTACCACAAACTTTTTGTGGCAGTTTTAATGGTTACAAGTTGCCGTTTGTGAATTTGAGTGCATCTCAGACATACAATAATCATAATTATTATCATAATTATTATGATGCGGAAAATTTAAATATTACTACAACTGCAACACCGCCAACAACGTTGCAATTAGTTCATGTGGTAATTAAAGTTTTTTTTTTCGTTTTTTTTTTTTTTTCCTTTTGTTCTCTAGCTTTGTTTTCTTAAGTGATTGTAATTTTGAACGACAAGCTGTGTTACAATATAGTCAACCTTTCTAATCATACTATGATGGCGGCCTTGAAGGTCTTATTCAGTTTAATTTTCAATTAAAATGCATTTTATATTTAGGGGCCGCTATCAAAAAAAATTGGGGTATATTAAACGCGCTTTCTTGTTGGTGCCATCAGTGAAAAATTACGCTTTTGATGTCAGTCTGTGCATACTTTCTTCATTTTATCTATCGCTGTTGTTGAAATGCCCTCAGCAACGAAAATTGAAATACTTAATGATCGCGGATGAATTTTGAAAGTTGACACAACCCATAGCAGTCGCCAGAATAGGAAAAATGTAATTATTTACTATTTATGTATTGATCTAAAACTTTGTATATATATATAAAACCGCACGCCATATCAAGAACCTCTTATAAATAGCGTCGTAATAAGACTTCTTTTGCTTATTTTATTGCTTATCATAAAAGATATTGTTCCAAAAGTTAGTACAAATATTTAAACATATCCCCGAGAATGATCTTAATCGAGAGAGAATATCATTCGGTTGCGAATAACGGAAAAATTTGCAAATTTTATGTACTAGTTTAAGGCCGAGGATACAAAAGATTTTCAACAAGACGGAACTAGTTTTTCTCTCTGCATACAAGTATGTTTTAAATGTAAATTGAAAAGAAAAAAAAATGAAACTTCAATTTATAGCATTAAGTTTTACAAAAAGTTTTGAAATTTTATTGTTTTTAATATCATTGCAAGTATTTTTATAATCATTATCATAATTAGATGCCTTGTGTGCGTGTGTTTTCTCCTTAATTACTTTAATGTTATCTATATGCTGATTAGAGTATAATATAATAATATGCATATAAATTGAATTTTTCTTTTTTTAATAGTTTTTGGTTCAGCTTTGTTTTTATAATTATTTGTTTTGCGTAGCTATTTTCAAATAGCATGTTAACTTTGTCAGTTCACGTGGAACATCAAAGCAAAACAAAAATCACCATTGAATGCCCTTATAAAGCAACAAATTGCTTTTATTCAAAGAGAATTTCTGATTCAGGACGACTGTAGAGTTCCCCATACGAAACGTGTGTAAAATCTATCCGGAATGGTTAAATACAAATGAAAGTTCTTCCCTTTTTCGATTCAAATTTATTTCGTTGCTCATTCCTACTTGTCGTTTTTCCCACTTCGAAAGTTTTTCGTTGATGACACCTCTTACAGCCCTTGAAGATCGGCAAAAATGGAAAGATTCTTTTCAAAATTTTTGTAAAATTGGTATGTCTGTATATACGAACGAGTGGCAACTTTATGATTTAGCAAACGAAATTTTATTTAAGGCATAAAACCGCATTTGAAGCTTTTTTTCAATTAGTTTTTGCGTTGTAAAAAAAAAAAAAAAATCGCACACCATTGGAAAATAAAGTTTACAAATAAATGCAGCAACATGAGGCTCAGTGCAATGCCAATAATTAAGAGGAGAAAAAATTTAGCGATACCTTTTACGTATTTTTTTTAGATAATATATTTTGAGCTCTTTACGCTCACTCCGATTATGGATAAAGTGTCAACTCTCTGTAGTTAAATTGCAAGTCCGTTCATATGTTATATGATCGAAAATTTTTATAAACCGTTTGCAAACACCGTTGAAGTGCGTGAACCAGTAAAGAATCCTTCTCTTAATAGTCATCCTTTGTTATATTCAATGCAATCAATCCTTATCGTATCCTCCCCAGTACGTATTCAGGAGAACATTTGCGCTTTTGCTTTGAATTTTAACACAACAGCAATTTATTCAATAAATAAAATGAAACATAGTACGTTAGTTAAAGTACTATCGTTTGACATTATTTTTCTCTCCTTTCGCGCAGCCCATGAATTCTGTACAACGCGCGTTCTGGTCATAAGAATTTAAAGACTAATTGAGTGAAACTTAATTGGTAGCGCGAAGAGGGCATAAATGGCGGGTACAACGGAAATGACTGCGTTATGCTGAAAAATCAATTCATCTCTCATTCCTGAGGTTATTTTAAGATTATTTTTCCGCTCAATTGCTTTATTACATTCGACGGCTATTTACATCGTCTATATCCGGACAAAGTTAGAACATAAGTCGCATTTGTAAGCGGGAGCCTACAAAGAAGTTTTGGAGGCGCTCGACCGGATCCAGCGAATAGCTTAGATGCGCATAAGGGATGAAAGTGTATCCAAAACTCTCGACACCCTGGAGCACTGGCTTATTGTAGGCTATGTGGCACTTATGTATAGATACATCCAGGGCATATTTTCCACAGAGATAAAAGTGATATGTCCATCAATTAAGTACGGTGCCACGGACCACAAGAATTTGTCAGCATTCCCACTCACTAGAAAATTATTTCAGCAGTGTTTACCAACGTGCCCGACGTTATCGCGCTTAAGGTACATAGGCACTAAACCGTCTTTCGATCTTTCTCTACCTATAACTCTTCCTGCCCAGCATCGCAAGAGACTTTCCATGAGAATGGCTGGTCATAAAAGAAAAAAATTGCATAGGGTATGCGTTTCTACTGCTAATGTTAATGTTTTTGGCTTTAATAATTTTTTTTCCTCTGTTGGAGATTCTATTGTGTTTGTTTTTCATTACCAGCCACTAGTCAACAGCAACGTTTTTGACATAAAACAAAGAGCTAACGCTTCTCGCAAATGGAATTTATTTGCCATCTACTACAAAACTAAAATATCGTTGACATTTCCACGAGACAACTTTCACTGCAGCGTAAGGCCAAAGTATAGATAGCACTTTGGCGTGGATAAGTCAATGAATTATTCCATACCAATTACATTCTGTCTTAAAAAAAGACTCGTCTTCGGCCTTTAGTTATCAAGATCTACGAGTTTGATCTTACAATTGTCGAAAAAAAGTTGTGAGCCGATCGATGAAAAAAATTTTCGAAAAGTGCATGTATGTTAAATTTATACGTTTTTTATTAGGCAGTTATTAAATATTTTTACTTTTAATTAATCGCCTTCGCTCGTTTTGCTAAAGCAATAGTCATACAACCTAAAACGCTCATATGAACAATAATCTCTCAGTTTCCATTGATACATATTCGTCGGGTCAGGTGCTACAATAGGATAGGTGGAATCATTCAGTAGTGAGATGAATTTGTTATAGTAGGCCGCCAGTCTTCGTACTCGTATAGTTCGAAAAACTTTTTTATTTCCAAAAATAGTCGGAAAATTTAAATGCAATTTCATCAATAACTTGTGGTTGACAGTAGATATATATATATATAAAAGCCGAAATCCGAAAGAAAACAGCTGCTTGGTATGGTCGGCCTTCTGGCATAAGTACTTGTTTGTTTCTTTATCGTTTAGGATATTTATTAAAAAAACCTCCTTCATGGTATTATTAACTTGCAGCTTCAATACTTTTTTAAGTCATGTTATTTTTTATTAAATTTTACATTGTTCTTTTTCTTTTTCCAGCTGTTTCGCCATGGCCCGCGTACACCGGTCAACACATACCCAAATGACCCGTACATAAGAGAAACATTTTATCCTTATGGTTGGGGACAGTTGACAAACGTAAGACTAATAATCTATCGTTCCTAAAGGTGTACATGTTTTTTGATAAGAGATTTTTACCGCAAACTTTTTAAGGCGGGTAAACGTGAACTCTTTAAAATGGGTCAATGGCTGGCGAGACGTTATGAGAATTTTCTAACCCAATTTTACACACCAGAGGTATGTTGTACATTATATGCGTACATTATATACATGTGTATAAAAAAGTAAACTTTTATATAATAAGTTTTTTTGTGCAGCTGCTCCACGTTCAATCATCTGCCTCACCACGTACTTTGATGTCAATGGCTACCGTGTTGGCGGGCATGTTTCCACCTAAGAACACAGTAATGGAATGGAACATAAAACTGAATTGGCAACCTATACCCATTCAGGCACAGCCTTTAGACAGGGATATTGTAAGATAAAACAATTTGAAAACAAAAAAAAGAAAAAAAGAAAAAGAGAATTGCATAACAAAAGAATTACTTGAAACAATTGCTTTTATGTTATTGTACAGTGGCTGCGCATGACAGCTGATTGCCCACGTTACCAGCAAGCATTACAGGAAGTATTACAAAGATCGGAAGTGCAACAGGAATTAAAACGGCATGAGAATTTATTTAAGGAATTAACTGAGATAACGGGACTAAATGTAACAACGGCACACGATATAACGTCAATTTATATAACACTGCTGGCAGAGGTGAACTGAGTCAATGAATTGTATTGAAGATTTTCACAATACCTATAGTATTCTAATACTTCATTGTGAAAATATTGAAATACTGCATTTTTTTTTTTTTTTGCCCCCTTTTTCCTTTTTTTTCTATTAAATTTCTATAGCGTGATTATGGCTTAAATTTGCCATCTTGGACACAAAATTATTATCCATTTAAAATGCAATTTATGGCTGAACAAAGTTACATATATAATGCGTACACTACCGAGATGCAAAGAATTAAAGGAGGCCCTCTGCTGCAATTGATGCTTGAGCATATGCTGAGCAAGGCAGAGGGGTCTTTAAGACCTTCACAAAGAAAAATTTATATGTATTGTGCTCATGACTGGTCAGTAACCAATTTTCTGATGGCTTTAAAAGTATGGAAACGGCAGTTGCCCAAATTTTCGGCATTGGTATTAATTGAGTTGCACCGTCAAATGTCCGGTAAGGACTATTACATTAAGGTGAGTAATTTAGAGGCAACATTTTTATTGCCGTCGTATGTTTACACGTTTTCCTTATAGTTTTTCTTTAGAAATGATCCCAAAGCTATCTTGGAACCTTTAATATTGCCCGGATGCACGGTCGCTTGCCCTTTGGATAAGGTTTTAGAATTAGTCAAAGACGTTATACCAAACGCTGCCTACGAAGAGATGTGTCGACTAAAGGAAGGCCCAGCATTTGAAAAGTATCTGAAAAGCGATTATAATTAAAATAAAAAACCTACTTTAATTGTGGGTCGAATTTTTCCTTTTTTCTCGCATTTCTATCTACTACTAATTTAGATGACCGAAATTGTAGGGATCTTTTTTGATCAGATCATGAACATTTGTAAGCTTGTTAGTGAAAACGTTACTAACATCATCTAGCATATAGGGGAGGCAAATTTTACTTTATTATTTTTTTAACAAATTCGTTTGTATTGTAACCACTTATAACGGAAGAATGGAAATACGGACGGATATAATGGTAAAGTTGCCATAGAAAGAATGTCTATGAGGATATGAAGAAGAAAGTTGAAGAAAGAGAAAGAAAGGGTATTTAAGGGTTATGTTCGATAAAGAAATTTGAACACATTTGGACTTACATATATGTGATTCCAACATCCAATAATCTGTCTTTCCAGCTCTTTTATTTATATTTAAATTGTTTAAGAGCTAAAAGTAAACTTCAAATTGCTTTAATAAATTGAACGTTGTGTGCAATGAAAAAAACAAGAAAAAGAAACAGTCACCTTCTCTGTTTATCCATCTATGTGTTGCATCAATAAAACATTATTTAATCACATTGTGATCTTATGCTTGTTAAGAAATTATACAACAATAAAAAAAGCAAAGATTGCGGTAATTAACAGCAGCAAAAAGAAAAAAAATTAATAAATGAATAACGTAAGGTTCTATACTTTCTCTATATAGAAAACACATTGTTCCGTTCTGAAAAGTTGCTCTCTTTCCCTCTCCCCCTATCCGACTGTCTAAATGACACTCTCTCTCTCTCTCTCTTTTTCTCTCTCTTTTTCTCTCTCTCTCTCTATCTGTCTGTCAGTATCTCCCTCTCTATATCTCGCTTGCTCCCTCTCTCTTTCTGTTTGTCTCACCGCCATCAGATATATCTTTCTATCCTGTATGAATGCAAGTAACTATCATTTTAAGTAAATACAAATTTAGTCAAACATTTAAGTGGTCTTTGACTCGATTTCATATTTCTCGCTTCGTATGCAGACAATATACGTATAAGTAAAAAAAAAATATATATTTATTAGTTTGGATTGATGTGAGTGAGTGAGTGAATCCATACACACGGTGACATTAAAATTTTTCAACAGAATTAAGTAAACGTGGAGTAGCCGTTTAGAATCGAAACTAGAAAGCGGGCATTGGTAGTAAAAAAAGTATTTTTTTAAAATCAAATTATAAGTTATTTAAAGAAAACGTATTTAGTCATTAGGTTCGTATTAAGTAATAAATTTTTTTGTTTATAAATTTTTAAAATTAATTTTTAAGTGAACGCGTACTAGTTTAAATATATGTATGTGTGTGCTACACTATATATAAAACATTCGCGAATTTGTCAAGGTAATGGTTGCATTCAAAAAATCGTTTATGCTAAAATACTTGACGTTTCACAATTTTACAAAAAAAAAATTAAATAAATAAATGAGAAAAAATAAAACAGAGAATAAATAAAAGGAAAAATTTTTGTTTCTACTAACTTCAATTCGAATTTGTAAAGCTTAATAGAATTATATACATATTATTGTTATTATTATTGTTACTTCCTCTCCTTCTTCAACAAGAAATCTATACAATCTACAACTGAAGCGAAGATAGCTCACCAAGATAACGCACATTTTTATGGTTCGTGTCTTCAGTAAAAGTCTTCGCTAAGTAACGATTTATTGCGAAATAAAAAACAAACATGCAGAATAAATACTAAAATTAAATAATATTAGCTAGAATGCGCATATAAAACATATTAAGCCTTTAATTATGAACATAAAACATAAAAGCTAAGTTACTGCTACTAAATCTCATGCAAAATTTGCAGTGCAAATACTAAAAGAAAGCAATGTTCAATTTGCGCAATAACAATTTTCAGAGACATTAAGCGGCTATACATTTTTGATATGCCGTGCAACACGCTACAACCTAGCAGAACCTAATTTCATTACCCTGGGTCCAGTTCATTACCGTAAATTTCGCCCCAAACCAGCCCTCTCCATATACGCTTGACGAATTCCGTCAAGCATAGATTTTTGAAATGTTTTAAAAGACGCTAAAACATTATGCATATAATTTTAATTTACGGTATTAGCTAAAATTTTTTATAAACACTTTGTGTATTGTAACTTTTCGCCAATACTACACATGCACTATATGGGTAAATAGTAGCACAAAAATTTTTTTTTAATTTCTTACAACATTTCTGTATGATCTTTCATTTTATCTATGCTTGCATTTTTAATTTTTGATTAGTTTTTCTCAAATCATTTTATTTATTTTTCAGTATAGTTCAATTATCAATTGCCTTAACAGAGGCGCGCACCAAGTGTGAAGATAGCCGACCTTTTAGCAAAGATAAAAATGTGGGACATGTACAGTTGGCTGATTTCACACCAGTAATCTATAATAGCTCTTATTAGAGCGTATTCTTGATTAGGAGAAGATTTTTAAGCCATGGCACTCTGTTCGTCTACGCGATAGAACTCTCAAAGCTCCTTAAAAACTGGAAAGTGGATGTTTTAAAACAATCGCGATTCCCATATGAACGTTTGAAAACCTGAAACAATTATGTAAGAAAAAAAGGGAAGGTATACAAATATTTGTTACTTGTCGAGTGTAACAGATCGCATAGTAAATTTTGATATGGACACTTATCAGGTTTAAATAGATGCGCAATGTTACGACTCTGATAAAATTCTGAATGATTTCCATACATGATAATCGATAAGCCTAAAATGCAATCCAAGCTAAGTATAGAGAGAATGACGGCGCAGAGTATTTATTACCTATTAAAATAAACTCTTTAAATTGATTTTGAAAAAAACGTGTTCCAAAAGCTAAATGCATCTCAGATTGATTAAAGCGTGAAACTTCATTTTCTCAGTTTCTCTTCAAAGATTCGCATCGTGACGTAAGTAGTAAAAATAAACAGCGGGAGTGTTTTTGACTTCTTATAATTAACTTTTGAAGCTAGTACTCGTCAATCCGTCGTATATTATTTACATGAAACTGGGATATTTTGTTTTAATTTTTTCCAATTAAGGAAAATTGATGCTTAAATTTATATCAGTATTTTTTAAATGCAAATTTCGTCCTTCGTACGATAAAGTAACTCATAATTGACATGTTTAATGTATGATTTGTATAATCTAATAAAGGGGCTTCTTCCAGTTTCTTGAACACTTAAAGAAAGACACCCGAACTATTTTTTCCCCTTTGTACACATTCTTATACTAAGCTTTTTCGTATAGAAACATGAGAAATGGCTTCCCTGTGCGGCCGTCAGGATGTGATGAGAAAAAAGTCGCTTTTATACCATTGCACTGGAATGCCTTAGTTTTATATTTCCTTATAAATTGTAATCATTTTCAATAATCGAAACATGAATAAGCAAAAAGAAAAACAGTAAAACGAGCAAAAACCGAAACAAGTATTAATTAGAAAATAAATAGAAAACAAAAAAAAAAAAAAAAGCTTATAAAAAACGAATTAAAAAACAGAAATTTTTTATTCAATATAAAATACCGCTAATCGAAATGACGCGTTCGCATTGCAATCGAAAACTTTGTCTCGCAATGACGGGTTCCGTACTTGCATTAATATTGTTCACATTAAGTTTTTACGGTACCGCAGTATTAACGGAAACATCTGCTTCATTAGATGGTGTTACGAAAAAAGATCTTTCTTCGCTTCAACTGCTGCATGTGGTAAGTTTGTAGATATAAAATATATTTATAATATATATATATATATATATATATATATATATGTAAATATCTTTTAATAAAAAAAAGGAAGAAAACAAAAGAAATTTCATAGAATAAAAGGGTCAAAGCTATCTTGCACGTTTTTATATCTACCGCGGATTTTATAAGACAAAGTATATCAAGCGGCACAATAATTTGGTCATTTCTCACACGTCAAGGGGATTTCCGAAAGGAGTATGTACCTCCAATACCCAACAAGTGCTACATATCTAACTCTCTCTCTCTCTCTCTCTCACTCTCTCTCTCTCTCTCTCTCTCTCTCTCTCTTAGTATATTAATTATCAGCATGTTTGCACGTTCATAACACTGAACCGTAAAACCATGTGAAACCATCAGAACTCTAAGCATTTCAATAATAATATTCACACCCAAGTCTCGTGCAATTAACTGATAAGAAAAGACATTTATTTAATTATTTACATGTAGCTAAAAAAACAACAACAGCAAACTTTACTGCGGTATTTATATTGATTTGCGTCTAATTTTTTTTAAGAGCATCCCCGCGCGTACACATTTATACCGAACAGGCCGTTTAATCATTCATACCGATGGCAAAACTGTCTCCTGAACCCAGGAGCTTATTGCAGAGGAGACTTATGTCTGACTTAATATAAATACCATGCATAGAATGTGCGAAGCAGTCCTTTACAAGAAATTTATATGAGGCATATTGAATTGTAATTAGAAGGAAAAATATCTGAAATATAATAAAGGAAATATATACTAGCACTTTAAAGAGTGGAATAGACGGTTCGGGTTTTATTGTAATCGTGATTATCTTAAAACTTTTTGCAGAAGAATAACTTAGGCGTTACATTATTTTTTAACATTTCCCTCAGGTTTTGTTTAAGAGCCATCTATGCCTACCATTTAGTCTTCTTAGACCTTAAAATTTCTTCTTAAATTATTCCTTACTATTATCATTTTTATACTATTCGCGAATAGTATCTACATCCACGCAAAGTATCATCCAAAATCCTTATATGATGCAAACCAACTATTAACTTTTCACTTCTTTCATTTGACTATGCAAGACTATTTCACAATCTTTTACATAATATTAAACATTAAATACTATGCAATACATTACATAATAGAGTTTAACAATCCAAAAATTTGCAATTGTTTTGTTGATAACTGTTGATTTTAAAGAGTGTACATGAAGAGGCAAATTTCACTCTCCTGATATTGTTAAGAAAAATTAAACAATATTGTTACGTTCTATAAAAACGTATATATTTAGAAACTTATTTACTTTTATTAGTTATTAACTACGCACACCTTGAGTATTCGTCATTTAAAGTAGGCGTGCAAAGTCTGCACACATTTTTGTTTGAAAACAGAGGGGTTACTTGGTGAATACGTTTTTAAATACAGACTAAAATATTATATAGTTGTGCTTTTAACCATATTCTAATGAAAATATTAGGCGGTTTCGAATTATTTTACAATTTATATATATACAATTAGCGCCGCAGGAATACTTGGAAAGTTTGCTTGTTGAGAGCTTTTTTCAGTTTGTTTTTTGGGCTTTAGTTTGTGGAATTGACCGAAGATTTTATGTTGTAAGTTTTACTTTTGTGTCCTAATTTTGATGACCTTAAGTCTTAAGGCTTTCACAAGCAAACAAATAAATAAACTTAGAATCTGACGCGTATCTTGGCCTCTTATAAACGAAAAAAATATAAAAAAGATTTTATTCGAATTGCGTTGAATAAATTTTATGTCATAACTGTGTTTTAAGCGATCGCAGAAGTAATCAACGTGTTCTATTTATCTAGAATGCATAAATTTTATTAACTGCTTTATCCCTCTTAAAGTAGGCATGATATCGTTGATCGAAGACCTTATGGTTTCGATGAGTAAGTATCTGCCAAGTTTTCTATTTTACTTTATTTGTTCATTCTTATTGTGTCTATAAAATTTTGTTCGCCCGCTATGCACTATATTTTATGGTAACTGGTATCGATTTGAGTAAATTTAACGCTACGGATAAATCGTTCTGATTGGGCCATTTAAAAACAATATACTGGTGTTAAATAGATCCCGTTCCATGAATCGTTTGCACTTTGCTGCAGCAAAGTTGTTTATGCTGATGATAGTTTGATTTATCGATAGCTCTTCATGGAAATTCTATTGAGAGCAATAGAGAGTAGTGACCATCATTAAAAAACCCGACTTTTTACCAATACAATGAATAGAAATAATTTTATAGTTTGCGCTGCTTAAAATATACTCTGCATATGGGTATTAGAGTGCATTACTGAAGCTTAATTTAGGAAAATTTTAATAGTACAATTATTGCTTTCCAAAATTTAGAAAGATTTTTTTCAATTTCAATTCTGAATACGTACACGTTTTCTATATGTTTAATATCTCTCTGTTAGTGAATAAGGTAAGGTAGTGAGTAAGTGAGAATAAAACTTTTTTCTCTACATAAACATAATTAGTTTTCTTTGTTATCAAGTCACGTGTCAAATGCACGCAGAGAATTTGTTTATGAAAACTATCTATAATATAAACTCAGCCTTCTGAACGACCACTTCGGACGTTTAGTAATCTGAACGTCAATTTAATTACAATTTTAGGACAAGAAAATAAATTTAGTTAAATGGAAAAGTAAAGTTGCCTTTTATTTAGTGAAATGTTTCTTAAGTGCTTTGTAAAAATTCACTATAAGACACGAGACTAGAATAGGTAACATATAATAACAATTTATCAGCATATCATGGAGCGAATTTGATTATGAGTAATTGTGTATTGTGCATGAATGCATTGATAAACGCCGTGTATGTTTAACTATGGCATACACTACAAATAAATGCGAACAAATATGTAAATATGAAAATTTTGTAATGTTTTATTCAATTCTTTATAAACATACACCCAAAACACACAAATTCGTTGCATATGCAGTTATGTTTTGTAATTAAAATAGTTTATACGTACAGCGCGAAATTCATAGACAATCATATGAATATTTATGAACTTCTGGATTTTTAACAAATCAACGAAAGCTGCATCATCACCAACTACTGTCACGGTAGAATCATATAGAATTAAATAGAATTCTCACATAACATTTGCATAAAACGAAAATATGTGAGTGAGGAAGAAAAAAAAAAAAATATATATATGAAATATATATCTGCTTCTATTAATTTCGCTGTAAATTTTCAATGACAGAATTATTAGTTGGTGTACTTTTATTAATTTTAATGTGTTTTAAGTGAAACGTGTGATGTGAAATAATATAGAGAATAAAAATCGTGAAAATCAATTAATGAAAAGTGAGTTATTTTTATCCCCATTTTGTGATCCAACTTTAAGTGCAACGACTGAGTTTTGACTTAAAGTTAATACGTTTCCGGCTAAATAAGTTGAAGGATAATCAGTAACAAAGGTTTTTGGTTTATTACTTTTTGAGTCTCTTTTTTCAGAATGATAATGCAGTAAATATAGGCACTTCTTCGCAAAAGTATAGAGGGCTTGCGCTTTCATCTCAAAAAATTTTATTTTTAGCACGTATCTTGACATTTTAAGATTTACAATTACAATTTACGATTTTATAAGCACGCAATTTCAAACTTTTTCGCACAATAAGCTAAAAACTGGTGCCAGAGATATATAAGTCTTCCGTCCTTGAATGTTGGCAACAGCTTAAAGTCATATTGCAGTGAGATTGTTATGAAATATATTAGCGAAATATTTAAAGATGCCGCAGTTTTGGAACTATCAAATATGGAGAAATTAAGATAAATTGTTTAAATTGACGCATGTGAATCAATCAATTTCAATCAATTTAGCCGCCTGATGAGCCGAGTTGGTACGAATCGCGCCCACCAAGGCAGTGTTCGCACGTTTAAATGTAATGTGCGGTAGAATTTTTTTTAATTGCAGCTATAGCGAATGCTCACTCTGTAAAGGGTAGAAACACTTATCGTTTGATCACCTATCAACTAAGCTGCGGTCACCACCTCCCTAACTCGTTCTCTTCCCTCTCTTCTTTCATATAGTCAACGTGTTAAACAAATAGGGGACATCCCATAAGTGACTAGTCATAAAAAAAAAAAAAGTTTTCTCTCGAATTTTTATAAATTTCCTTAAAAACGAAAATGAATTCATTCACAAGATTTGATGGGAGAAAAGAAAAAAAAAAACTACTCATTTCTAAAAATTGTTCAAATTCGCTTTTTGTTATAACTAACCAGCATTTTTAAAAGAAAGAAAGCAGAGAGACGGAGAGAGGAATAGATACTTAGATACAGAGAGAGAGAGAGAGAGATATATAGAGGCAGACATAAAACAGTAACAATAATAATAATAGTAGTAGTAATAATTATATTTTATATGAATATCGTATGCTTCACCTCTTCTTCCGTCCCTGCACAGTTTAGACACATTAATGGACTAACATATCCAAATCTGTGTAAAAAACTTCGGAAAAAACCATAATCAGTTAGAAACTCTGAAAGATAATAGTTTACCTCACCAGGCTTTTTGCTGGGACATTTTTTCTTATCGATCTTGGCTGCTTCAATTCATTTGCCTATGCTCTCGTTGCGCGACTAATGTGTCTTCTCATAACGCCCATACTCGCCTTGTCGTTGAGGATTTGCAGGGCTCTTTAGTTGCTGTTCTTCCTCTGTCATTTTTGATCGTGGATTACTCATGGTTATGCGCAGGTAGAGTACGAATATACTCGGGGTTACGTGCAGCCCAATTACAATTCGCCACTCGTGTTCCCTCAGTAGCCTGATCTTAGCTCGATGGGTATGCCATGGGTATGAAAAGCATATGGAAAGGGTATGCAAAGGGTGTCAGCACATGGCGACCCCAACATATGCCGATCCTAAGACATACCAACTCGAACACTTACCAACCCTAAGACATGCCAACTACCTTACATGTGAACACTAGCACATGGCAATCCCGAAACGTGCCAACACCAGGAGATGTTCACCCCAAACAATGCAAATCCAATATAAAGTAGAGAGGGATAGAAAGAGAGAGAGAGAGAGAGAGATTGTGGGTGACGGTAGGACAAATGACAAAACTAATCCCAACAATAATAAATCTTATCATTAAATTTAATGTAAATCCTTTATGACTTACAAAACCGCTATATAGGAAAAAACGAAACTACTCCTCTTTGTGAACAGATAACGATTTTATAGAAATTCATATCATATATACTTCTTTCCTTTAGCCATCTATGTTTATTCACACTCTGCTCTTCTGGAATACATATGCTTCACGTAAACTTGTTGTAAAGGACGAAATGTATATGGAAAGCATGCTGCTAAAGCAAGTGCAATGTAACAAATTTTGAGTTTGTGGCATAATCCCCAACAAATCTAATAATAAATAAACTCTAAACTGAAAGTATTTCATAGTACAGCCGACACCGATGTAGTTACGGCGATTTTAATCAGGGCATCGCGTTATTCATGAGAATCGTTTTTTCCCCTTTTGGTGACGGAATGTACCTATGTACATTGTATATGTGTGCATGTAAAGAACGAAAACGATAAAGAGAAGGATATATGTATACACATATATATATATATATATATTCAGCCCCGATCTGCTAACAAAGTAGTTTTATATATGTAAAGGTAAACCTATCTGCACATCTATCTCCATGACGCATGCATTTATATATGTGCTTCTCTTTTTTTAAACCGTCTTACCTTTTAGCTACACTTTTTTCGTTTTTTATAGAAAAAATGCATCAGAACATAGTTTCAATTTTGTTCTTGTTTGCTTCGTTTGTTTGCTTCTACGCAACATTAGTAATTTCATTTTGTAAATTGTAGATATTCCGTCATGGACCACGCACACCTGCTGACACCTATCCCAATGATCCATATTTAAATCATACTTTTCACCCCTATGGTTGGGGCCACATAACAAATGTAAGTACGTTCGGTGTGTTACGTAATTTCTATGCTGGAGAAACTGAATAAACAAAAAAATGAATAAATAAATAAATAAAATAATAAATAAAAAAGTTATACAAAATAACCAAAATGTAAAATAAGAAGACAAACTTTGATTGGATACTGTTATAAAAGAAAACAAAAGAAATGAAAGTAAAAATAAAAATGAACAATAAGGGAGTAAATCATATTGAACTTGAGTGAAATTTGGGATATCAACTAGTGAAGATTAATACAAAAAATTACGTATGTATTGGATAGTATATATGGTCAATTTCCAAATTCAATCCCCTTTATAAATTATTGGTGTAAAAATTTTTAAATTAAATTTTGAACCTAAAACTTGTTTAACATGATCTGTGAACGGATGGCATCATACTGGAACAACTAGCAGGTATATAAATTATGGAACACATTAACTTGAACATATTTTTATTCTCTAAGCCTTCAAGTGTGTACTGAGATAATTTGTCATAAATAATTATGCCACACCGCAAAGCAGGCAGCAATAGATCACTAGACATAGTTTTATGTATTGTATATATGTCTCTTACGTAAATATGTTTATATATACATATGCATTTGACAAACTAGGGAACATTCCAGTCGTACTTTTAAGAGTAATCGACAAATTGCTCGACAAATTCAATATATTTTCATTCTTCTTTAGTGAATATAAGAAAACAAAGAAGAGAACACGACAAAGGGGAAAGTAATGCTACAAATAAATTGCTTCAAAAATGTGGAAAAGTATGTAAGCAACATACGTTGTGGCAACTCTATTATTGGAACATAAAAGCTATGTTATGCATACCGATTAAAAAGAAAACTTGAAGTAAAAGATAGAGAATATTGATAGCGTTTGACGCGTTTCATAATACTTGGTCTTCGCGACTTACTTAGATCTTAGGTCTTAAGCTCTACCCTCTTTAGTATGCGGCAAAAAATGAGAACAGAACATTGGTAATTATTTGAATGAAAATATGAATTGTGACTATACGCAGTAGAAGGACAGATAATTATCTATCTGTTTTTATAAGGGGGTTTATCTCCCGTCGTCTTACATTGCAAGGTTATTTACCAAGTTTTATTTAACTTCTTATCGACATCGATTTCGAGATTCTTCACTGTCAATAATCTTTGCGTGAAGGAAAGCCGCAGCCTAATGTGGGATATTTTATATGAATACTGATTGTTCTCAATAGCTTTTTAGAGTTCGTGAGAAGTTTTAATCAACTATTAATCTGGTTATGCTTGTAACATCGTCAGGGAAATTGTTTACATTAGTTGTGTACTTTCCTGATGCTATTAGTCTTATTAAGGAAGCGTATATAATACTTACGTCGTGGATTTTTTTAAGCCTTTATTGTTGTTGTTAGCAGAAAGCAATAAATCAGGACAAGCCCTATAAACGTAAACATATGCAAAAAAAAAAAAAACGTTAAAACAATTATTTTTCTTTCTCGTACTTTTGATGACGATGACGGTGATGATGGCAGCAACACTTTACTAAAGCAACATGTTTTGTAGTAACAAATGGTGATTATTTATACTTTGCTTTTTTCTCAATATTTAGAGCGGCAAACGTGAACTATTCAATATGGGCACTTGGTTAAGAAAGCTTTACGGTAACTTTTTGGGTACACACTATCAACCGGATGTAAGTCGAATGGTAGGATAAGGTATTATCCTAGTATTATTATATTTAATTTTTATTATTGTTATAAATAATTTTTATTATTACATTATTATTATTATTATTATTATTATTATAATTAGTAGTATTATAAATAATATTGAATGTTAATAAATAAATTATTATTAAAAAAAAAAAAAAAAAATAAAAAAATAGTTAGTCCATGCCCAAGCGACTGGCGTTGCCAGGACTCATATGTCTTTACAAACGGTTTTGGCGAGTTTGTATCCTCCTCGAAACACTGCCATGGAATGGAATACAAAATATAACTGGCAACCAATACCAGTTTATTCGCAGCTTCTTAATGAGGACACGGTAAATGTGAAAGGGATTTTAAATGAATAAAATAATTCATTTACGTCTGGTTTTTTCCCTTCTCTTTGTTTTTTTTTTTTTATTTAAAGTTTTTATTAGTTCGTACGCCCTGTCCTCGTTACTTTGAAGCCCTGTATGAGGTTCTAAACTCTTCAGAAATAAAACAAGAATTGCAAGAATATCAGTACCTGTTTTACGAATTAACACAATTAACCGGCATGAATTTTACAGAATCCGAAGACGTGCAATCTTTGTATTTAACTTTATTAGCTGAGGTGAGTTTTAAGAGGATAGAAAAAAAAATATTTCTATGATATATTCCTTATGATTTCATTATTAGCAAGAATATGGTTTACAATTACCTGAGTGGACTAAGCATTATTTTCCAGAAAAGATGCAGTTTTTAGCTGAGCAAAGCTATTTATACAATGTCTGGACGAGGGAAATGCAAAAAATCAAGGCGGGTCCCTTTTTGCAGAAAATGTTTAATGAGTGGCAGGCGAAGGTTAATAGTACTTTGAAACCGAATAAGCGGAAATTATTTATTTATACCGGCCATGATTCGACTATAGTAAATATAATGCACGCCCTAAAAATCTGGCAGAGACAAATGCCGCGCTATTCAGCCATAATTATATTCGAACTGCACAGAAATAAAGACACAGGGCAATATTATGTTGAAGTATGCGTATCCTTTCGTTTTGGTGTTCTGATTTCTTTTTGTTTTGTTTATAGATTTACTTCCGTAACAATCCCAAAGAAGCGCCAAAAATGATGCAAATACCCGGCTGTGATAAGCAATGTCCGTTGGAGCAATTCACTGAATTGTGCCGAGAGGTGTTGCTAACGCAAAAAGATGCTAATCGTTGTGATCCCAAGAATGAACATTTCACAGAGCCACCATTGCGTGGTCCGTAAAGCTCAGGAAATTTTATTTTACTAAAAAGTTTTTTATTTCTTTTTTTTATAAGATTACGTTTTTTTTCCGTTTGTAAGAGTGCAAGCGTTAGAATGAACGAGTTGCTGTAAAGGATAAAGCATTAAGTTATTAAAAAAGAAAATAGGGTGAAATAAAAGAGTTTAACCTGAATGTAATATCTTGAAAATTTGTTTTGAAGATTTTATGTTGTGCTTGGTCTATGAATGGCTGTGTGCATTTTCGTCGAGCACTCTTACTTTTGGCTAACCTGATCCTTGTGTACACCCATTAACTTTATGACTTATCGTTCTATTGCAGCACTTATAGCACCCGCACTATACAGCTTTGGGTGCTCTCTTACTGCATGCAGCCGGAGCCACTCTTCCTTTCGAAGCTTTCTTATATTGCTAGAAATATTTGTGTAAGCGTTTTTGTGGACATTCATTTTGACCACGTTGGTTATAGCGACCATAGATATCTTTAGGAGTTTAAATTGTTATCGAAGCATAAAAAATTACATATTCTCCGATTTTTTTTTCGCGCGATTTCGTTAAATTCAAATAGAATTGCCGCCAAAATACGAGAGAATTCATTTTATTAAATAGTGTGGTAGTTGTATGCTCACATCTAGTAAATGCATAGCGTAAGATACCTCCTAATCAGTATACGCCTTGCCGTAGAAGGTGTGGAGCTTGTCCCTACGTCGAGTGCGATCTTTGGCAGCGAGCATTTATGCCCTTATCGGAATACAATTGTAAATTTTTGGATACTTTCGGGAAGTATTCTCTCTATGTACGGGCACAGGAATCGTACAGCCCTAGATAATATAATACTGACGTGATTTCAGAATAAAAAGCGTTTATTCTTCTTGGATACACTATTATTTAAAATCCTTTGTATATCGACAATTATTAATTTAAATGAAAGCAATTGGAAGACCCAAAATCCTTGTAAGATATTATAAAAAGCTTCTGTGTTTCTACTTTTGGTTTTCTTCCCCTAACTCAAACCGAACAATACTGCCAACTGGCCAACTAAGTTGTAAACTTTTTACGTAATTTTTTTTCCTTAATGCGTTTTAAACATTTGTTTGGGTCTCGTTAACATTTTTTTGTGTCTAACGGCGTCTGAGTTTTCGTATTTTCCTCTTCACTCTTTTTTTTTTTTTTTAGATTTAGTTGTGGATGTGCATGTGCTTAGATGAAAACTATTGTTTGTGAAATATTGTCAAAATGGGCGTGATAGGCTTGCACACATGCAATAGCTGATGGCACTTCATTGTTGTTGCATTACATTTGTAGCCTCTCCTCGTGGTCTCGTTGTCAGTACATAACGTACGTATATATAAAATACCTATATATATATATATATATATATATATATATATAGGTATTTTTATTTGTGTCTGTGCGTGTGCGCTTGATTATGTGACTGTACGATATGCACAATGTTGACGATGATGACGGTGATATTGTGATGATGTTAGTAAGGTTGCCAATTGCAATTGTTTTTTAACAAGTATTTCCGTTCTTATCATAACGGAAGTTGTTGTGTGTTTTTGGTGGTTACAAGTGGCATGGCATACGAATACGAAATATGAACTTTACAAGCCTCTATGCTTGCGTATGTGTATATACATATATACTGATATAGACGACTGATGGGGAACACCCCAAAGTTAGCATTTGTACTGATAAATGATACTGAAGTTATATAAACACATGTTTATAGGCTTGTGTGTATGTTTGTTTATTTCTATATATGTATTGCACATCTACATTTTTACATATACACATCGTTGGCTATTTCTGTACGCGATTTCTATAAAATAACAATATTTGAAGTTTGAAAAAATATTTTTCTGTGTTAGCTTTTCATAAAGGATACAAATTCTTCTCTTACTTTCCCGGCTTTTTTTTTTTTTTTTTTTTTTTATATACATATGTTTTGTGCTTTTCTACCACTTTCCACAAGTTGACATTTTTCGCATTGCGGTTTACCATAAACCACATACACTCTCTTACATATAACCCATGCATACACACGTTTATCACATATAAACATATATTTATATATATATATATATATTTATCAGAGTGCACGCACATACGTAGACGTTTCTCTTATATAAATGAATGAAATTCCTGTATAAAAATTGTTAGTGGCTTCTATGAATTTTTTAAAGCGTTTTTAAAGCACAATGCATGCGACAGACCGAATGTCCGACAGACAGACAAGCAGCAGTCGTTCAACATGCAGTGTTTCCACGTATTTGTGTGCATTTGTTTTAAAAATCATGTGCCTTTTAACTTTTTTTGCTATCTTTTTATTGGTGTTGTTGTTGGTATGTTGTTCATTTCCTCTGCATGAGTTATGTACCGAAATAGAAAAAAATTATTTAAAGTTTTTTTCTTTAGTTGTTTTTACTAAATATTTTGTGTATTTTACGATTACAGCGAACTATAAAATGTAACAAAAAAAAAAAAAAAAAATGAATAAAAAATAATGAATTTCATGGTGTTCACATTATGAACATTTAAGAGACAAATGGTCCTACTTCGTTCAGTTAATTTTTTCGTGGCAGTTGTTGTGATTCTTTCTAAACAGATTATTTTGTTTACATTCGTTGCCGCCGGCGATAAAAAAGTAATCTTTTCGGTGAGAAGAAGAGTGAAAGAAAGAGAGAGATATGGAAGAAAAAATGTTAAAAGCAAAACAAAGTAAGAAAAACGTAAGAAAGTTTTATATATAATAATATAAACACTGATTCTCTTGTAGGCCGTAAATTAAGCTGTAGTGCAGATGGGGTGACTTCCATCATTAAATCAGATTTGGAACACGGCGATACGAGCATTATATGGCGATTGTAAGCTTCCTGATTATAATTCTGACGTGGTTAGATAAATTCATCTTTTTAACTATAAGAAACTAATTAACTATAGAAGAAACCAACTTCTCAAAAATGGTAAAAGCAGCAGCGCTTTTCAGTTGGTGACGAGTGGAAAGATTAACAAGAATGATAAAAAAATGTTTTGTTTCATTTAGACGCGACCTTAGAGACTTTAATGGTAAACCGCGTTGCAGCGATCTAAAAAGTGCATCCACCCGAAATACGTTTATTAATATATTCGAGCTGGTCTTGAAAGATCACCGAATAATTGTTGTTAATTTAGTAGGGACTTGTGAATTGAATCTCAATGGTTCGGACTTAAGCTCATTAACTAATTACACTTTCGGAGAGCCATTGATAGAACGGTTGAGACACCTTGAAATGTTTTCAACAATATTTAATTAGTTTCCAAGGACATAAGCCACATTTTGTATGACTAAAGAGGAATGAGCAAAAATTCAGATTGACTTCGGCTGTTCAATTTAAAGGCAATGGAAAAGAATCAAAGTGTCGAAGTAGATTATTTGATTGCCTTCATGTTATGAAAGAGAATTACTAAAAATCTTTATGACTATAAACTCATTTGGGAAAGAATTGTAATGCGGCGATTCGCGCATAGATATTTTTCCAATACTCAATTTAGTGAGAAGTATTAATAGATTACAAGGACATATTCACAAAATTTAGGCTTTTCTAAACTTCATTTGTGCCCAAATCGTAAAAAATTTTTACATATGCTTTGTTAAATTTTGCTTTATTATTGTTTTGTTTTCACAGTCGAATGCGTTTTTGCTTGCGCTTTATCAGTTTAGATAGAGAACGAATGCAAGTAAGTTTGCAATAAACCGCTGACGTATTAAAATGATATTCGAGTATAAATATATATTTTCACTAAGCAGAAGATGCTAAGGGAATTGATTTGCTGTTGCATGAGAACCGCACGCATGCTCAATTCAAAATAACTCCTTTGTCTATACTTCAAAAAATAATTAATATTGAAATCGACAAGACTGTAGGCTTGAAAGGACACAATTCATTTGTTTAGAATAAGAGTTGAAGCAAGTTATGTTTGAGTTTGATTCTTAATTTGTGATATGTGCAAAAACACAACCAACAAATAATTAGGTTGACGTACACTAATGTAATATTTTGCATGGAATTCATGAGTTTGGTGAAAATATTAAATAATGGTGATGCCGCCTAGTACGTGGATATATGAAAAAAGCGTTCAAGAAACTGTCTAAAATTGTTACAAATTTGCTCACCTTGGTTCGATAAGCCACAGATAAAATAAATGAAATAAAGACTGAGACTTTTTATTTAAAATTGTACGTCGTTTCAAATTTAAGAATCCGTTCACAATATTCAAAATGATGTGTTGAGCAGAAAATACGTGCATCACGTTGGTTCTGCATTTTTTCGTAGATCAGCTCTTATGTAAACAGTTTTCGATGAGAAACTCAAACGGCGATCTCAACTAACCGGCTTATTTATACAATTTGCTGAGATTCTTTTTGCATTTATTACGGAAGGATTCTTTTTCGGTTCGTAATTTCCAAAGGTACGTATCAAAGACTTCAAATAATATAAAGGTTTTTGATTACCATGACATATTTAATACTTTTGAAGAACTTTAGAAAAATTTCAACGATCGATAGCTTGGAATTCGATTTCGAATTCATTACAGGCCTAAAACCGGAAAAATCCTTTGCGATGGCAAAAATTCAGCAAAAAAGTTATTATGTGGTACAAAACTCCTTTAAGTCAGTTAAACACAACAATAGAAAAATGATACCTATCGATTAACTGACACATGTAAATTTAATCAAATATTCTGAAATTCGTAAAGGGTTTGAAAACTCACTCTCCTTACAGCTAATACGATTTTTGTACTTGTTCCTGCTAATGCCTACAGCTTGACATTTGATCGGGACTTTGTTCTAACAATTCTAGTAAACTAGTTTCCACTTTGTACATGGAGTCTGCTAAATATTTTTAAAATGTAATTGCAATTTATATTCTAACCTTTCATGAGGAATATTAGTAGAAGAGAAATTGGCTTTTGCCGTCTAGGTATCGGTAGTCGAATTACGATATGGAATTGCTAGAGATTATCAAAGTAGCTTTTAGGAATTAAACTGCGCACAAATGGTTCTATTTATAATTTGATTTTTATAACAAGAAGAAACTTAATTTAGCTTGAGACCAGAAAAAAAGATACGATAATCTGCTCTGGTATTTTTTCTACATAATTTGAAATCTTATTAACGAAAAGAAACAGAGAGAACACCTATTAATATTCAGCCGGTTAAGGGGCGATGAGCTGGATAATGGCGAACAAAAAAGTTTATTTTTTTTTAAAGATTTTTCTAAATTTTCTTTTCGCTCGCTATGATTTCTCGGTTAGCCTAAATCATCAAACGTTGAACAGAACTAAAGATAATATATAGAAAACAAGTAAGAAAATTATATTTGGTCGTGACCGAATCTTTTATATCCGTCACCGTTATCCTAAAACAAAACAAAACACAAAGAAATAAATATTCATGCTGTATATAGCATGGAGTAAGCGAGGCTGACTTTTTTTTTATTTTCAAAATAAAAGTTTTTGTTGCATAGTCGCGTGGGCGTTGTATTTTGTGTGTCCTTTGAAAAATATGACCACTTCCAAATTCTTTTTGAAATTTGTACGCGATATCTTTCTTTCCTTAGAACGGGAGAATGTTTACCATAGAAACTACTTAGTTGCGCAGCCGAACAGATGATCAGATGAAAGGTCGGGACATAGTTAGGCGCATTCCAAATTTGAAACTTTTCAATAATTTTTATACTTTATAGGGTGTTTAAAGCTTAATTCTGCGCGTTACATAGGTATTCAAAAAAATTAACTTTCCATGCACTATAATATTTGGTAGGCGTGGGCAATTTTCCCCTTTTTTTTTTAGTAGAGAGACTACAAGATCGGCAATGGAATATATGCTCAATT